TCATCAGCAATGCCAGGCAGGTCAGGCAGGTAGGATGGCACATCAATCTCGGGTACTTGGCCCAGGTCTGGCACATAGAAGTAATTCTCTGGAACCTGTGGGATTGGGTGGAGGTTCATGAGGGTCAACAGCCACCTGGGAACACAGGGCCTGCTGTGAGACCTGGAGGCAGAGCCAGTATGACCCAGTGCAGACCCCACACAGCTGGGTAGGTAGGCAAAGGGCATAGTAGAGCCCTTGTCTAGAGAAGCACCCTGGCAGGGCTGACAGACCCCACCCATCCACACTGCCTCCATCTCTACCTGCTGCTCCAGTTGCTCTCTCTTGCTGATGGACAGAGGGGCATCAAATAGCTTCTCCTCCGTCTCTGCCCCCAGCATCACATGGGTCTTTGTTACAGCACCAGCCAGGGGGTCCAGGAAGACATACTTCTTGTACCTACAGGGTGGGGTAGGTGGCATCAGGCAGGCCTGGGTTCCTGACCACCTCTCCCAAGGCATCATAGGATGCAGTCTGTTGTGGGTTCTCAGGCCTTATAAACCAAACTGAACCAAACTAGAAAAAAACAAGCCGTCAGCTCTGGACTGCTGCAYCAGAGCCATGTCCCTGGAACCGCTGCTAAGCCCAGCCTCCCTCCCACCCACATCTCTGCAGCCCCGCCCTCTGGCCATACAAGTTCTCAGTAGTGTTGAAGAGCAGCAAGGAGCTGACAGAGCTGATGTTGCTTGGAAGACCCCCAAGACCTTCCTCAGCTTCATCCTCGGGCTCTGGCTTGGTGTTCACACAGACAGGAAAGTATTTCAGCTTCTCCTGGGGTGAGTGACAGGGATGGATAGTGGGTTTTAGCACCAAGCTATAGACCCCCACCCCCATCCCAGTCAGAATCTTCTCGGGAGACAGATTCCTCAGCTTCCCCATCAGCGTTCATGGCATTAGGGTGTGATGAGTGTGGCCACCAGACCTGCAGGGCCCGCTCATCCAAGGGGCGGTGCTTGCTCTGGATCCTGTGGCGAGGCCGTCTCTGCAGACCAGGGTCCTGTGCCCCAGTAAAGATGGAGCCGTATTCCTGCAGATGCTCTGGGGCTGGGTACTTGGCACTGGAGAATACCTGTGGGAACCAGGATATGGCTAAGAGACCTGAGAAGCTCCAGAGAGCCTAGGGTTGGTTAGTGGGAGGCATGGAGAGATGACCCTGGGCAGGAGGACAGCAGGGGCATGGAAAGATGGAAGGACTGCACACCAGCTACAGACCACAGGCCCCACAGGCTACCTTGATGGCCTTCTTGCTGCCCTTGATCTTCTCGATCTTGGCCTGGGCCAAGGAGACCCTCTCCCCAATGGCCTGCAGCTGGCTCCGGCTCAGCTCTACCCGCTGGGAGATCCTGCCACAGAAAAGATGAGACAGCTGGGGTTACTCCCAGCCCTGCACATCCTGCTGTCAATAGCAGACTTTGCATGAATTCTTCAAACAGTGTCACCTGACCATCA